CCATGCTTCGCTCACAGTAATTCTGACTTAGGGGACTTAGTACAAGGCCCAGGAATCTCTATTTTACAAAGCATCAGTATTTTCCTAATGCAGGCTATCTTTAGACCACATTTTGAGAAATAATGCTTTCCTGCCCCCATACCAGCAAACATAAATGTGTATGTATGGTACATGCAACACACCCATATTAACTATTGCACACACTTATAATGAAAGTGGGATTATACTATATAAGTAGTTTTATGGTATGTTTTTTTTTTTTTTTCAGGGAACATTATAGTGTTATAATCTGTTCAAATCATCACATACAGATCTGCATTCTTTTTAATGGCTACATCATACTCCACTATATGTATGCACCATAATTTATCTATTCCTTTATTAATGACATTTAGATTGCTGGTTTTTTGTTTTCTTTTTCTTTCTTTTTTTCTATTACAAGCGATGCTGTTATGAATACCTTGCATATTATGTTTATACATTTGTACTAAATTTTCTGTACAATAGAGGGAGTGAAATAAACATAGAAGAACAGTACTGCTAGGTCAGAGGGTATGTGGTACACTTTAAAGTGTGATAGATCCTGCAGAATTGCCCACCAATTCATCTGTGCCAATTTCCAGTCCCACTAATTATTCCAGAGACTAATGATTTCCCCACACCTATGCCAATATTAGAATCAATCTTTTTCATCTTTATCAATCTGACAGGTAAAAACAAATCTTATTTTAATTTATATTTTACCATGTTTTTATTATAATTTCAGTATAACCAGCATTCAGTTTACCATTGAAACACAATTATCTCAAATTCTACAAAATTATAATTTAGTTTCAGAAAACTTTGATTTTATTTTACTTTCAAACTTAACCCTATCATCTGTAAGATAGATGGGATGAGTGAATTTTAAACATATGTCCATTAGGTAGTATTTAATTAATATCATCTTTTACTAAGTGATAGAAAAGGAGAGTCATAAGACCAGTGTGCAAGGCCTGGCTTTGCCAGACAGCAGGTAGGTGACCTTAGGTAAGTCACTTACCCTATTGAGAGCTTCAGTTTCCTCTTTTGTAAAACAGGGATTTTACTCATTTTATAGGATTGTTTTGAGGATTAAATAATTTTAGTTATAAATATTAGCTATTACTATCACCATAATATTAAATATAATGCAAGAGAAATAACCAAATGACTAGGAATTATTATAAAGTCTTTCTTTATAATTATACAATAATTATGTTAATACTAACAAAGTCAGATTCTATTAGGTGAGTTCACTGTTTGTTGGAAATACTGAAGTCACCAGAACAATGCATATTTCATAGGGCTAACACACTGCTTACAAAATCACTGCTCTGGTTTTCTACAAGTACTCTTCTAAGAGCAGTTTAGAATATATTTCCTAAATTACTTAGTTCATTAAATGAAGTGAACTTATCCAAATATATAATCAACTAAACACCAGGAATTTTTCTCAAGTGTCTAAGAGAGTCTTGTTTCTAATGCACAATAATGCAATTCATGTAACGCCCTTGAGATTTCCTAGAGCAAATAAATGAAATTCTAAAATTTTACTGTAAAATAATACATTGAAGACCTTATCCTTGATTCATTTCCAAAGCCAACATCAACCTAACTCATTTATTCATTAAATGTCTAAATATCTACCATGACAAAGTCCTGTCTAGGTACTAGGGGCATATAATCTCTGTGCTCAAGGGATAAAGACTCCTATTAAAGGTAAAGTGGCAAAGAAATGTTACCTAAATTTGCCTGTGCCAGAAGGCATGAAAAATAATCAGCTATTGAAACACGGTGCATGGAGCTCATCTTTTTTGAATGGACACTAATGCACTTGCCATATTTCTCATCCCTAGGCCATGCGAAGTACAAAGCCAGCAATGAGATGTCATTGTCCCATCACTTGCCCCTAAAAGCTCTCAATGGCTCACCTCAACTAAGTATTTCTCCTTTACTTTCTTCCTTCACATCATGACTTTTGCACATTTTTATAATGATCTTTAAATGAGTAAAGTGATCTGGAAAAAATATTTTTTCAGTTTTTATTTTAATAAAACAAGAGGCAACACTCATGGTATAAAGTACTACATAAGGAGAACATTTACACAAATACACAAAAATTCGAAAAACTAAACTCCAGTTTATTTCCATAGCCTTGAAAAGGTAGGGAACACATAAAAATATCCAAAGTCATAGTTTATTCTTTAGGAATGTAAATTCTAGAAATACAATTAGAAACAAGTATCTTATTATGAAAAAATTAGTATCACTACATGATTAGAAGCAAAGGTAAGAGGTATACAATAAGCTCCATATAAGAGAAAGCAACAATATGTGAAATAGGATATTGAGTTTACCAGTAAAAACTTCCTATTAAGACACATGTACTCTAGAACTCTACTATAAAAAAACACAAAAACATCTTCCAAAATGTTCACTGCTAGTCTCTTTAGATATGCACAAGTTACAAAGTACAGAAGACAACATATTTATGCTCTCTGATGAAGAATTTAACAATATTAAACATAAAAATGAATAACTCAAAGTACTGAGTATAATTTTACTAGGTAACACATCTAAAAGTATAAATTCATGCTCATTAAAGGATTAAAGAGTTTTAATTTTTCATCCAAAGACTGGAAAGACACTAGTATACATTAAATTCTATCTACAATGCTTAAAGTACCCTCAAATTATTTTTCTAAGTGTTTTTTTAAAAATATTTTGTTACATTATTCAGCATACATATTGCCTTGATGTGCTTCCCTTTAATAAAGATTTATTGTGCCTACAGACTCAAAATGTTAACCTGCCTTATTTTAAATATTTGTTTAAAATTATGTCTCAGAGTACATCTTTTCTCCATAATTTAAGTTTTAACATTTTAGTTTTATTCTTCCAAAACAGGCAAAATCCCTTAAAACTGGGATCATTTTGATCTATTTTGGTTTTAAAAATATATTTCCCTTTTATTTAACTTTTAAAAAAATGAGTAATGTTTGCTGAGTAATTGCTTCACAATTGAAAAGGGCAATGAAATATTGCTTTTTCAAAACGAACTTCAGTCATCATTTAAGGACTGAGAATTTCTACTCTTCAAGTCTACAGAGTTTGCCTTAAAAATTTC